TCCCAAAATTTGAGATAAAGCTGGATGTTATATATTTATATATATATAAATGCAAATATATATATATATATATTCAAATATATTAATCAGAAATACAAGTCTGATATAGATGGAATAAAGTTCCGATAATAAAAACCACTATTTTTGTTTTCTTAGTCGAAGAAATATTTTTATAATATTTATTTAAAAATTATAATGAATCATGTTATAACATCACTTTGAAAATAACCATTTGTTTCAACATTAATATGTCTTGTCAATTGATGGTGTTGCAAGTTAAATAAAACGTTTTTAAAGAGTTCAAAAACATTACTACCACCAGCTTTTTGGACGGTTTCAATGACAAATCAAAATCATATATATATATATATATATATATATATATATATATATATATATATATATAAAATTTGTTTTACTTTAAAACAAAATTATCCAGACATTAACAACATACTATGGTGCCAAAATCTATCTTTCTCTGTTCTTATCAAAAGTGGTCGCCCCAGCCGTTTCCATAGTAACGAATGAACATGCTTATAACGATACGTAAAATTAAAAATTGGTTATTCCTAAATTTTCGCTAGAGGATGAAACAGTGTTGTTACTTTAATTCAATTTCATTTTAAAAATTATATTGATGGTTTCGGCTCTTGTTTTTGAAACATGAGAACTCTTATGTAGTGAAGGAATCATATTTTTTTTTAAATAATTATAATCTAAGCTCTGTCGGTGTATGGAGCACTGTTTTTAAAAATAAATGCAAAAATTTAAAAAAAATGGATTATTTACCTAACGTGTTCTTTCCTATTTTTCTACATACATGCACACACACACACACACACACATACACACACACGCACACACACACACACACACACATATATATATATATAACAATTGAGAAAATCGAAATTTGTTTCATATATGTTGAGAGAGAGAAAGAGCAACAGAGAAAAAAAGAGAGTGTTTACTGAAGATGTCTTCTAAAATATCTCGCATCTTATACAGATATAATATGCGCCTGGTATTTGGAAACACCTTATCATATAGCTACAGTCTGCCTACCCTATATGAAGAGATTATCGGAGAAAATCCAAAAGGTCTGTGGTCCATATAGAAACAGAAGGACCCTCAAAAAGGTTCAACACTTCGCAGATTCCTCTTCTTCATAAGACCCCCAGCAGAGTGGAGAACTTGATTAAGGATTGTGTGTACGTCAGCCCGTGCAGCTGTTGTAAGAAATAGAAACAGGTAAGTCTGCAAGAACATTGTAAAGCATTAACACAAGGGGAAATTGAAAAAACAGGCTTAGCTGATCACATATGGAGGGAAAAGAGAGACCACCTTCCATTGTGTGATAAAGTTGAAATAATAAACAAAGAGCATTACTTGAAAATACGAAAACTTAAGGAATCAGCACATATGCTAGGCCGCAAAATTCTCCTAATCCGGCCAAACGTAGAAATGAATACAATATGGGAACCAGTAATACGGAGTGCTAAGGAAAAGCAATAACAACAACGAAACTGCAATATGAGCTCTGGTAAAAAAAAAAAAATGATCCTGTGACAGTAAGTCCCAAAAATTCATACACTGGTGTCCTCAAGGACACATGACCCAGTGAATACAAAAATAGAGAGTTGAGTTAAAAGGGATATAACTGGGACATCCGGAAGATGCATAGCACATGGAAATAGTACAATCTACCCCGGTGGACGAAATAAAGTGTTCAGTTCGAAATTCAAATAACCTGAAGAAGGCTGGCGCGTACAACGGCTGAAACGCCGCGAATATGGCAATAAAGATTAGGACAACAGTCAGAAGGATATAAATAACTTTAATATATTTTCAAATTTATTTAATTTTTTTTTTACATATTTTCTTTATTATTATCATTTATTATCATTTTATATCATTTTATCATTTATTATTATTGTGTTGGTGCATAATTATCAGGTGTTTTTGTAAGCGAGTTATTTGTTAATAAAAATTGCTGTTTTTTGTTTACTTTTTTTAAAAAAAAAATATTTTTCTAAAAGGTTATAAAAATGCGTGTCGATAATCAGACTCTTCGGAATAATCAGATAATCAGTTAAAAATGTTATTGTTGAATTATGTTTCTTTCTTCAATAAATATTTTTTAAAAACGCCTGATAATTATGCACCAACCCAATATATATATATTATCAAATGGATTGTCAAACAGTTATTTAATTATAACTTGATTTCTTCTTCTTCTTCACCTCTTTTATAAGAATAAAATTATCTCAGAACATATCTTCACCTTCGTTATCGTCTTCTTCGTCTTTTTTTGACGATAACTTTTTTCTTAACCATTCTTACTTCTTACTTTTCTTCTTCTAGGTATATATATATATATATATATATATATATATATATATATATATATATATATTAAATGTATGTAAAATATGTCCAACGATTAAATAAATGGGGACTTTTTGCGTTTGGGATAGGAACTGGAGGAGAATTTAGAACGACCTTCAATTCACGGTTTGACAGAAATTAAAACCTAGATCAAACAATCGACCTGTAATGCCAAAACCCTGGATTTTACGAAGAAGGGCCGGCATACCAAACCCTATCAAACGCTTTGAGAGATCTTCCACGGCACGATCAACGTTATTTTGAAGGGCTTGGTAGACGGTTTCAGTGATGGCCGTAAGCACATCAGCTTTCGGGCGTTTGGAAACCATATTTTGTCTGTTGAGGCGTTCATTGTGGATTAAAAATTGTTGATTTTGTTTACTTTTTAGTATAGGAAAATAGGATAATTTTATCCTCAGATTATAACAATGGAACAATAATGAGGACATTTGAAGTCAGGAATAATCATTTTTAATTATATAGTTTAGAGATTGTTTAAAAACCATAATTTCTTCAAGACAATTATGCCGTTCCACCAACCTTGTAGGGGTCTAAAGATAATTACCAATATAATTATCAATATCATTTTATCATTACATTTGATCTATTTACTGTTTTATATGTTTTTATATCATTCATATTTTTCTTTGTTGCCCAAATTTTCTGCAATATATATCATTTTCTAAATGCTTTATTATATATATAGGTTTATATATATATGAGTTCGTGGGCGTTGTTATAAACCCATTATTCTTCTTATATATTTATATGCCATTTCAGATGAAAGTTTGAAAGAGATTTTGCCGTGAGAGAGGAGAATTTATATAATTTTTTAAATAATTGTATATATTTTTTGAGTTCGGACTCAGGGTTCAAAATTTTTTTTTTTTGTAGTGATTTTAAAAAATTTTGTGTCCCAAATTTTTAAAAATAGACAAGCGAAAAATCGATAATGTTTAAATAATTCTGGAACTTGAAATCCATAGAATTGAATATATATATATATATATATATATATATATATATATATATATATATATATATGATAATTATTTTTCAAAAGATTTCTAACGATAAATTGTTTTTTAAAAACACCAAAATGGCATTTTAGAGTTTTGAGTTATCATGTTCTTTGTTAATAAAATTGTTTTGATTAAAGTTGAAATGGATTTCCGATAAAAAAAGTTTTCGAAAAAGTTTACAGAAGGAATGACCACGGACCTTTAAAACCATTAGTTGTGGAGTTTATTTTAAAACCAAAAGACGATATAAAACCCCAGATTGCACCTGAACCGCATGTCGGTTTTTAGCGAAAACCGAGCGGATTTATGAAGAGGCCATTGGGGGTCATCATGTGAAGTTTCAACTCTGAGCACCCCCCCCCAAACAGAGTGCAAATCGACAATCGGTCAACCCTTAAAAATGTTTTTTTCCGGTTTTTTAAAGCTGATCGTATTGTGTTTATTTTGTTTAGTTCTTTTTTCGTAATAGATTTAATGTTTACTATAGAGCTTAGAAAAAGTTGGAAGTGTGAGATAGGCAAGAAGTAAGGCATGTAACAACATCAGCACGGCAAAGGGCACTCCTCTAAAGGCAAGGAAGGGCAAAAATATTTTAAGTCAAGTGATAGCGATTGCTGTATGAGTCGTACGATTTTTGAATCAAGCACGGGCAACGCCGGGCCATGCTGCTAGTTTTATATAAATTTTTATATATCATTTTATCATTTATCATTATTTATAACATTATATATAATACAAATTATGAAATAAATATTATTCATTATTATTAAGATTATTCTTACATTTATTTGTTTATAATTATTTTTATTATATATTTTTTATATTTTAAATTATTTTCAACATTCTTTCTTCTTTTATTCGTGACTTCTTCCATGTCGGCATCCTTATTCCAGTCATCAGTATTTTTTTTGTTTTAATTTTCGGAAGTAACAGACAACGGAAATTGTGGTGCAGAAATCCGAAATTACATTAGAATGGCGAATGATGTTTTTCAGACGCTAAACAAAATATCAAGAGATTAGAAATTTTCGTTAGAAACAAAGTAAAGACTGCTGAAGTACTATGCGGTATCATCATTCCTTCTATACGACAAGGAATGATGGAGAATTTCCTCGCGGATTAATGGAGGAAGTTAGACAAAAGCGAAAGAATGGAAGAAATTTTTAAAAAAAAGAATAAAGGAAGAGAAATAAAAGTTTGAAAAAAAAAGAATTAAAGGACTTGAGAAAGTGAATGCATTAATAATACAGGGAAAACAAAAAGCTTGAGAGAATGAATGATATTTTGGAAAAGAATGGGGGGAGAAATCAGGACAAAAGAAAGAAAGAAAGAAAGAAAGAAAGAAAGAAAGAATGAAAGAAGGAATATGTGGAAAGCAATAAAGAAAAAACGATAAGCAGCAGGAAGGAAAGACAAAATGAAAGATCAAAAGAGAAATAAAATAGAAAGAAAGAAAGCAAGCAAAAAGAAAGAAAAAAAGAAAGCGAGTAAAAAGAAAGAAAGAGAGTAAAAAGAAAGAAAGAAAGAAAGAAAGAAGAAATATGTGGATAGCAATATGGAAAAAAACAATAAACAGGCAGGAAGGAAAGATCAAAAAAGAAATAAAATAGAAAGAAAGAAAGCAAGCAAAAAGAAAGAAAAAAAGAAAGCGAGTAAAAAGAAAGAAAGAAAGAAAGAAAGAAAGCAAAAAGAAAGAATATGTGGAAAGCAATATGGAAAAAAAACAATAAACAGGCAGGAAGGAAAGATCAAAAAAGAAATAAAATAGAAAGAAAGAAAGCAAGCAAAAAGAAAGAAAAAAAGAAAGCGAGTAAAAAGAAAGAAAGCGAGTAAAAAGAAAGAAAGAAAGAAAGAAAGAAAGAAAGAAAGAAAGAAAGAAAGAAAGAAGAAATATGTGGAAAGCAATATGGAAAAAAAACAATAAACAGGCAGGAAGGAAAGATCAAAAAAGAAATAAAATAGAAAGAAAGCAAGCAAAAAGAAAGAAAGAAAGAAGGAAAGAAAGAAAGAAAGCAAAAAGAAAGAAAGAAAGAAGGAAAGAAAGAAAGAAAGCAAAAAGAAAGAAAGAAAGAAAGAAAGAAAGAAAGAAAGAAAGAAAGAAAGAAGGAATATGTATAAAGCAATATGGAAAAAAATAAACAGGCAGGAAGGAAAGATCAAAAAAGGAATAAACTGGAATGAAAGAAAGCAAGCAAAAAGAAAGAAAGAAAACAAGCAAAAAGAAAGAAAAAAGAAAGAAAAGAAAAAGAAAGGAAAAAGAAAGAAAGAATATGTGGAAAGTAATAAAGAAAAACGAGAAGCGGAAAGAAAATGAATCTTGCGGAAACCGTGCTTCTACACGAAACCGTTGCAAACGAAAGCGGGAAGAAAGGACTAATCCCCAATTAGACAGAATATAAAAAGCAGTCGCACCTGCACTGAATTCATCATAAAAATTCAGGATATGAAATTAGTAAATATCAAACACTTCATATACCTCGGAGTACAGATCAATTATAACAAATTTAGGAAATTGAACATAGAATAGGATGCTCTTCAGGTAGTTGTGCATAATCCATAAACCCGCAGTTATATCGGACGAACAACCATAGTATGCACATTAAAAGAACTATCGATAATATTCCACCATTGCTTGTAAAAAAAAATATTTGAAGAGATTGGACGTTCAGCAGTATTTCCGTGAGATAGTGGGGTCTGGAAAGCGGCGATTAGAGTTATTTAGAAATATGAAGATGATCTATTACATTGAGTTGCAGTGTGCTTTCATGTCGAAGCACCTCTGATGATGATCTGATACACAAACACAGAATCATAAATATACATATATACATATGTCTGTTTGAATGTATGTGCACCTATATATCATTATTTCTCACATAATCTTTTTTTTTTTTTTTTTAAATACGAATATAAGTATCTTTATTATCCGTTAACGCAGATAACGAGAACGAATAATAGAAACCACGTTAAGCGGGGACCATTATGTTAGATCTCAAACAAAGCCCTGTAAACAATAAACACTAAAAATACCCCTGTGTCTGGAAGAGTTAAAAATATTTAGGATAAAAGAAAAGGAAACTGAACATAGAATAGGCTGGGAGTTTCGTCCAACACCGCAAATTACTACAAAGCCAAACATTGACCTAAAAGCTCGAGTCATGTTCTTAAATAGACGCGTCATCTCGGGACTTTTGTATGGATGTCATGCATGGCGACAAACCCGTTCAGAAATATCTAAACTGTCAGCTGTATACAACCGCTTCCTAAGATCAATATTTAAAAAGGACTTCGAGTAAATGAAGCATGTAGGTCTTTGCGTGGATCATACTTTTTCGAACCTCACGATGATTCACAAAGAACTGTTCTGGCAATTCTGATTCACAAAGAACTCTTCTGGCATTTCTAATTTGCAAACAACTGTTCTAGCACTGCTGATTCACAAAGAACTCTTCTGGCACTTCTGATTCATAAAGAACTCTTCTGGCACTGCTGATTCACAGAGAACTCTTCTGGCACTTTTGATTCACAAAGAACTGTGCTAGCACTTCTGATTCACAAAGAAATCTTCTGGTACTTCTGATTCACAAAGAACTCTTCTGGCACTTTTGATTCACAAAGAACTCTTCTGGCACTTTTGATTCACAAAGAACTCTTCTGGCACTTCTGATTCATAAAGAACTCTTCTGGCACTTCTGATTCACAAAGAACTCTTCTGGCACTTCTGATTCATAAAGAACTCTTCTGGCACTTCTGATTCACAAAGAACTGTACCAAATAACAGAAATGAGGACTACCAACAGCAGCAACAATTAAAAATCAAAATGGATAGTACAGCTAACACGAAGGCAACATGTTGTCGTTCCGCACTACTTTAAACAAAAGGTTAGGAAGGAAACTCCCATTAATACTGGAAGGAGCGATAGCGGTTAACAGACTAGAGAAAGCGATTTTCTTGAAAAATTGTTTTTGATAGAAATATTTTCTAAATCTCAATCGACACTAGTACTGTCCGATCGGTCGATGAAGGCCCCTGTATAAGGAGACGGGCTATATTACCATTAGAGATGAGGAGATCAGATAGAACACTTTGATCTCAGCCCGATGGACAGGGAGGGATGAAAAGCGCAACTCGTGTAGCGCTGGCTGTTTAGTCAGTGAATGGCGAATGTTTCCTTATAAGAAAGCGGTTAATATTATCATTACAATTAGAGATGAGGAGAACAGATACTGCACTTTGGTCTCAACCCGATGCCCAGGGAGGGATAAAAAGTGTAACTCGAGTAGCACTGGTTGTAACGTTTGTATAATAAATACAAAATGTGGCACAAGGCCAAAATGGGGAATGAGGAAAAGGACGGTCTTCTTCTGTTTTGACATTCAAATTAACTAGCCACAAACACTGACCCAAACAAACCACAATAATCCTTACATTAAAATAACTCATTCTTATTTACCATTCTTACTACATCCACCATAATACCTCATTGTCTCTATGGAAGTCCTATCTAGTCAGTATTTAGAAATACAGAAATTAACAACAATTTAAAATCTGAACCCCTGTGTATATTTACTATATGAAGAATAGATTATTCACAAGAAACTAGATAAAATAGTTTTAGTAATAACCCCTCCCCCACGAGGCTTAATTGTGGCAGAAACATCAGTTAACTGGAAGAAATCAATGCTGGACTTTAATAATATACAACACTCAGTTGTCCAAACTCTCACTCAACCACACAGTCATTCAAACACAACAAAAACGAAAATTACACCTGAAACGAAAGGCGCCTCGCACCCACAAGAGAACTGAAGTTTCTGCTAACCTAAACAGGGGATAGAAGTGGAATTAAAATAAAAGAAAATACTGACATAAATAAAGGGCCAATGAGCAGATATACAATAGCTAAGTTAACTTAATGGAAGAAGCTAAAGCCCAAAAAGCAACCCTAAACTAATCTAATTCTAGGCGGGGTTGACAACAAAGCGCAATTTCCTAATGCCTAACGGGCATCAAAGTGCCAAGTCAGCCCCTTTTATTCGATACAAACGTGCAAGATTCACCCACATTTTGCCAAATTCTGATAAAGGGAGCCGTCGCTTTTCTGTCCTAATCTTGACTTTAAGCTGATGCTTAAAGTACAAGATCACTTGGGAAGAAGTGAATTCTCACCCCATAGAATTCCTTCTGACGCGCCATTCAAATCACGACTCTCATAACACCTAGTAAGCAAAAGAACACATAGTGTTCGGCCCCTGCCAACCACATTGGTACAGAAAGTACTAGCTTCAAGGACAAAGAACTTTCCTTGAAGCATGCGAACCATGATGCCTTCAATAAACTTGCGCAACGGGACTACGAGCCTGAATGAAATAAAGCATGACCCAGGGTCTCCACCGCACGATCATAGCGAACGCAGTTTGGAAATTTCTCCAAACCCACCAAAGTCTTTTGCCGACCCAGAGGGCCCTGCGAATCACCAGTCAGGTGACTGATGTCACAGCGTTGTTGAGGCATTTCAAAGCCGGGCGGCCACGGCCATATTGAGCAAGCCTCCTGCTTCGTAAGACCGAGCTCGCCAATCAGATCATCTCGTAGGAATCCTCTAAACAACATGATATAATGCCTTTCGAGTCAACGCCTGGATGCTTACGGTCAAATCACGCTGAAACACCGGTTCTCGTTCGTTCGAAGTTAAGCATCGTAGAGCCAGGTCAGTACTTAGATGGGGGACCGCTTGGGAACACCTGGTACTGTAAGCCCCCAAAGTCCAACCCTTACCTCACAGTTGGGGCGGGGGTAAACGGTAGTGTCAGAGCTATGCCGCCCGGAACTTCGTTCCTGGTAGGGCCACCCAAGGCGGACAGGTCTGACACACACGCCGGCTAACAAGGGCTCTGATGAAAATCCAAGGAGCGTCTGCATCGGTAACCGGCGGCTTTGGTCGTTCCTGTCTCTGCGTCTGTGGGGAATCCGCGGCAAGCAAGAACGTTATCCGAGTAGGCCTGGATACCCTACTTCTGTAATTTATCCCAAGAATCTTCTTCTCATAACAGGAAGAAGCCGGCTCAATCCGCCCAGGGTGAATGCCACATCAGTACAGTAGTAGTACAACGCCTGGATGTTGGAGAGGCCAGCCGACGCCCGTAAGAGGTGTATCAGAGCAATACAACTTTCACGATAGAAGGAGCACTTGCATCTGGGTAAACGGGGATGGGGATCTTCCTCGCACGAGTGCACACTTTTCAGGGATGGGATATTCTCTTTATACGATTCACGACACATTCGATCTAGGTACGCGATGCGAAGCGTATGAGGACGAGCCTCAACGCTAAGCATACCTAGAGCTGTTTCAGAATGGTGGAAGTAACAGATCTCCCGAGGTACCTTAGCGGATTTGCTTCCCCACAAGAAGGACAACAAGAGCGTTACTAATGAAATTAGTGTGGTCGACGGAAGTGGAAGTGCAGAAAGTCGGTAAAGGAAAATCGGGAAGATGTGCGAGGCACATACTTCCGCCCTCCCTTTAAGGAAAGATTCCTCCGGGACCACAGTCGAACTGCGACCTCGGCTTTCTCTTGCACCTCCGACCAATTCATTTCCAACAGTAGATTGAGACCAAAGCACACAACCGTAAGCCAACGGTTTTATCGCTGTTGACCATGGACCCTGTCGCCGTCTCATATCGTCTGATTTCTTTGTTGACTTCGTCAATCTCGTCTCTGCTCGACACAAGAACCCAAACGTCGTTAGAATAGGCGGAATACCAGGCTGAGGTGGTGGCACCATTTGGAGAAATTCTGCGTAGGACCGGATTCGTTTTTGCGAAAGAAAGGTTCTAAAGCCAGAACGTATATCAAAGAAGAAAGCGTACAACCTTGACGAATGGAGTGAGACAATACGAAAGGTTCTGATCGAACCCGATTCACTTTCACCAGCGCCCCGGGGGACGCATACAGAAGTCGGATCCAGGAGCGAAAGTACGGCCCAAAACCGGTCGCCAAAAGGACCGCCTCTTCCAATGGATGGTCCACCCCATCGAATGCCTTGGACTGATCTAAATTGATCAGTGCAGCTTCACTGTCGATTTGATCCATGACCAAGCGTACCATATGAATGTTGTCCTGAATAGTTCTGCACTTCACAGCACAAGTCTGTTCGGAGCCAATCAGACTAGACAGGACAGCCTGCAAACGGCTGGCTATGATCTTGGCTAAAAACTTTTAACTTTTTATCCCAACCCCAGCGTTTTTGTCCTTGCGAAGAAACTTGATTACACCCCTGGTGAAGCGCTGATTTATAGACCCCTGCTTTAACAAGTTGTTATAAATCACTG